TGGCTCCTCATGGACAATTTTATTAGTATGAACATAGGAATCTAATCATAAAAATAATTTCGAGTGTAATGATCAGTATCTCATTTATGCTGAAGACCAGGGTCCATAGCTTCTATTCATTTGCATTATTTTAATAAATACTACTTATTATCTTACTCTCTGTTATTTCTCTTCCTTTAAACTTTCTTTTATTTAGTCTTTTTCCTATTTCCACCATTGAGGATCAAAATATTCCTCAGCACAATGTATCCGAAGTTGCGCCTTTAAACTGTCAATGCCTGCCAAATTCGACTTTGATGCTGCAAATAAGCACTGAGAGTCCTGTTGTGGCTTTAGTCCAACCCCAAACTTCGCTCAAACGGCATGCAAATTGTTCCGTTGGTTACCTTACTGGACACAAATTGTTGCCTGTGTTTTGGACAACCAATGTTTTTGCGTCTCTTGGAGGCGGTTCAGGTCAGTTTCTTTTAATATCTTTCGAATAATTAACTTTAAATCGACTATCAAGGGTAAAATATTTATTTGGAAGAGTAACGACCTACTTGTCCATTCATCATGATGATTTTTTAATTTTTCTGAACTAGGTAGAAAAATTTGCTGCAGTACCACTTAGGGCTTCTATATTTTAGATATTTGGTCAAAAGTATATCGATCTTCAAATTTAAACTCAGTGGCATTTTCACTAAAACCTGATTTCTAAATCTTATATTCTAAGCTATTTATTTATATTTCGCAATTAAGTATTGCTTCGAGACCACTATTAATTCAGTAATATGGGATATATTAACCCAATTTTGGTCTAGGGGATGAAGGACTGGTAGAAGAATTTTTCAACAATGATATGAGTAGAGCTGACTTTTCCATTATATTTCACATAGCCTAGATTTCCCAAAAGTTGTTCTCATCCAGAGTTGACTGCAGTTTCGAACTCGCATCAGTCTTATCAACACTCCCAGCCGGAGTCGAACTGTGTCAATGCAGAATGGGAACTTGATATGTAAAACATTCGGCCACATTGCCACAAGTGCCTTTTGGTCACATGACAAATGTGAATTTCAAGGAAGGCCAGACCTTTTGCCATATCAAATTCTTTGCTGGGATTGTCGATGAAGCATATGTATATTTGCTATAATAATTGA